TTAAAAGCAAGAATCTCTAGGCCAGCCTTTAAATGTTTTGAAATTCTTTAATATATTATCTTTCTATATGTATCATTTTACTTTTGCTTGACATTATTGACTTAGTTTTCTATGCCAAGGGCAAATTAGGCTACTTCCCAGAAAAGAAATCTCCCAGTTCTATTAACTTTGCTAGAGATTGCCTAATCATCTCTATTCCTCATTGTCTTGGTAAAGGGGTAACTAAAGAAATCCAATGAAAATGTCCCAGATACTTCTGAATTGAATTTTTAAAACATTTCCCATGAGTGGATTTTTAGAATTTTTCAAAAGAGTAACTACTAGAATTAAATCCAAAGATTAAAATTGCCAGAAAGAAAGAATAGCTGCAAGGTTTAAAGCTATGACTCTCTCTGTGCTCCTACAAAACACTGGCATTGGTTAGGCTGTATGGAGATGTTCAGTGGGCTGAAATTGAGTAATCTTTTTCAAAGAACCTAGTCTTTATTCAGCACACAAGATATATCTCTTATTAAAAGTTCTCAGCTGTGCTTTACAAATGTTGGTTTTGAGGGGAGGATGGATTGGAATGAGAGAAAATTTTTTCTATGGACCACACTTCCTACCATCTCCTTATGCCTAACTCAAGAATTAAAGGTCACTCCTTAAAGGACAGACCTAAGAGTGTAACCTCAGACTTTACTCATTACCAAGTCTTTATTAAAAAATATATATATACGTATATATATATGTATATATATATATGTATATATATTCAGGTCATTACCAACTTCAACAATCAAAGAAATTTTCCACAGTAGGAAAAGCCTATCATGTCTTTATGTTAAGAAGACAAATCGTTACATCACAGCCTTGTTTCAGAGCCCATCTTTCTCTTTGCTTTTCCAAGTTAGGGAAGGGATGGAGCTCCCTATAGGCACTGTCCCCTGTGGACCACTAACCATTGCAGATGAGAGTGATGTAGGAACTGAGAAAAGTGCTTACTTAGAAAGTTTTACAGCAGTTTGATGTGCCTGTTGAATCTAATAAAAAATTAGCCTTTTAATTGTATTTTTTCTAGAAATACATTTGTCTGTAAGGGATTGGAAATAAGAAAACAAAGACTGGCCTGGTCACAGGTGGTTTGAGAAACATTACAATAGGTACAGCCCCGGTCAGGGACTGAGGTGCTTCAAGGTATCTTTGTGTTCTAGGAAGAGGCTTCATGCTTTCTTACTTCCAAACTCAAGAGCCTAGTGGTGTTTTTTTTTTTTAAATGCTTAATTTTGGTAAAGTAGGCATAACAAAATTTACCATCTTAACTGTTTTAAGCAAGTTCAGAAGTTCAGAAGTGTTAAATCTTTCTACATTGTTTTACACCTGATCTCTAAGACTCTTCATCCTATAAAACTTACTCTACAATATCCATTAAACAACAACCCCCATATCCATATACACACAGTTGCTGGCACCCACAATTCTATTTTCTATTTCTGTGAGTCTGGCTACTGTAGATACCTTATGTAAATGGAATTATACAGTATTTGTCTTTTTGTGGATGGCTTACTTCACTTAGAAAAATGTCCTTTAGCTTTTGCATGTTGCAGTGTATTAGAATTTCATCCCTTTTCACGATGATTGATTTCCATTTATGGATGTACCACATTTCGCCTATTCATTTATGCCACAATAAACATTTGGGTTGCTTCTACGCTTTGGCTATTGTGAATAAAGCTGCCATGAGCACAAGTGTGGAAATATCCCTTCAAGATTGTGCTTTTAATTCTTTTGGGTATATATCCAGAAGTAGATATACTGGATCATGGTGATTCTATTTTTAATTTTTTGAGGAATCTTTGTAGCAGCTGTGCTGTTTTATATTTCCATGAACAGTGTGCAGTGGTACCAATTTTTCTGCATGTTCTGGCTATACTTTTAATAGTAGCCATCCTAATGGTTATGGCATGCTATTTCATTATGGTTTTGTTCTGTATTTCCTTAATGGTTAGTGATGTTGGGCATCATTTTATATGTTTGTTGGCACTTTTACTGTCTTTGGAGAAATGTCTGTTCAAGTCCTTCATACATTTTTAATGGAGTTGTGTTTTTCTTTTTGTTGCTGTTGTTGTAGGAGTTCTTTATGTATTCTGAATATTAATCCCTTATCAGGTATATAACTAGGAAATATTTTCTCCCATTCCATTTTCCTTTGATGTGCAGAAGTTTTAAATTTTGATCTAATCCAATTTATATACTTTTTCTTTTGCTGTCTGTTTTAGTGTCATATTCTGGAAATTATTGTCAAAGCTAATATCATCAAACTTTTTCTCTGTTTTCTTCTAAGAGTTTTGTAGTTTTATTTTTTATCCTTAGAGCTTTGTCTCAGTTTAAGATAATTTTTTGTATATGGTATAAGGTAAGGATCCAGCTTCATTCATTGCATGTGGATATACAATTTTGCCAACACCATGGATTGATAGGAACATTGCTACTAAGCTCAGTTGTTCCCTATCTGGCCAATGGAAAGAAAAAAGGAATGGAGGAAGGGAGTAAAAAGGAAGGGAGGGAAGGAAACAAACATTGAGAAAAAATTGAACATAGATTTATGCCTTGATTATGACAATTTCTTTTTCTTGATTATGACAATTTGAGAGGAAGGAGACCATGGTGACTTGAAATTGAGATGTCAGTATTTGACATTTCATACCTATAATATGGCCATAGTGATTAGTTCAAAAGTGAAATTAAAATTTATTTTCTGGAGTTTTACAAGAAGGCTTGTGATTTTTAGGTGCCCACTTTCCAGTCAATTTGATTTCCCCTAAATTTAAATTCTTGGTAAAGTCAAAGGAAATTGTTGTATTCTAGTGATTAGACTGATAGTCTAAGCCTCATTCATGTAAAACATTTGCTCAATGAGTTCTCTGATTTCCAAGCCAGGAAAGAAAAAAGATAATCTCATTTGAAAACCAGTATTTTCCTTTTTCTTTTATTTTGGCTGTTAGGAAATTCAGTAGTTTTATGTTTACATGTCCATCAGTTCCTTGGTTCTTGAGCTTCTATTCATTTGTTCTGTTTTATTTAGGTTTTCTTTACCAATCAACTCTATTGAGGCATAATTTATATACAATATAACATAAAATGCATCCATTTCCAGTTTTGACAAATATATACATCTATGCAATCGCTACTTCAATCAAGATTTAGAACATTTCCATCCCACCAAAACATTTTCTCAGGCTGCTTTGCAATCGTTACTCCTTTTCTGTTATTAAGTAGTTTCATTGATTCTGTGCCCTTTCATGTTAGCCACCAACCTATTATAAATACTTTTGGAAGTAGGTGGAATTTTAAATAGTAACCCCTTAAATAAAATAGCCTTTTAAAACTCTAGATTTTTTTTCCTGTGGTCTGCCATTCAATTTCTTCCTTCCTTCCTTCCTTCCTTTTCTTCTTTTTTTTTTTTTTTTTATATCCAAAGAGCAGCATTGGAGCTTCTTAGTACTTAAGTCTCATTACAACACTGGTGATCTGGTGTCTTATGAAACATTGCCAGATATCTGTAGAAGATCATGTTCCTTTTTTCCCTTAGAAATTAAATATCTAACTCAACAGATTTTTTTAAAGCCAGAAAAATTTGTTCCTGAACAAGTTTCTTCACTTTCATAAGTGGCCTGCATCTTTGCCAGAACATAAAATATTTAACAAGCCCCATTTGCTTTGTCGCAGCACATTTAAAAGCCAGTGGTCCTGCTTTCTAGTAATTCGGCAACTCAGGGCCTAAGAAAGGCTGCAGCTGCTTGCTGAAATGTTAGAGCTATGACCTATGTGTAGATGTCATGACAGTGACAACAAGAAGTTTAACCAACTGGATTGTGTATGGGGATAGCTTGGTCTCTAGCTGGATGTGTGAGGTAACTGGAGAGACAAGAATTGTGAATAATTTAATGCACAAGGAATTCTGGAACATGACTCATGTCAGGCAATATCTGCATGAGTTGTGGATGGTTTATTCTTCCCCAAGATGATGAGGAAACAGAAGTAATATAAAATTTTAACCCTTTCATTGCCAAAGGAATTATTGTTATTGTCATTTTCTTTACTATTCTGCAATTACCATGATACAGTGAATTGAACTCTAAATGAAGATGTATACCAAGATTTGTCATATATTCTTCAGATATTATGCTCCAATGTTTCTTCATCTTGCAACAGAGTTGTTTTTAGAAAAAAATCGGCAGGAGCATGACAAAAAGGAACATACATTATAACCATTTGACATTTTCTTGGAATTATTTTCTGTATGAATGATGTAGAAGTGTCATTGAACCAGGTATGTTTATAAAGCACAGAAGGTTCTCATGAGAAGACTGCTTGATATACTGTGGCAGTATTTCAGCAATGATACTATATGACAGTGTTACAGCCACATTCAGTGATTTATCCTAAAATGCTTGGCATTTTCATGTAATGGTCTGGGCATGGAGGGAGGGGAAGAGAATGTTTATTTGTTTTGTTTTACTGGATTGTGTTAGTATATATGTTAGCTCTAATTTTAAACTCACTAGATAAGAAAACTAATAAATTCTTCTACTATATGTACCATAATCCTGTGTATTTGGATTACTTAAGTCTAGGAACAACTCAAAGAACTATAAATAAAAACTATATAGGTTCAACTTGTTCTTCCAAATGATCCCTGCTTGCCTAGGTGGAGATGAAGGGTAATTATGATGTGTAAGGTTCCACTGAATTTGAATCTATGTTTTATTTAAGGGAAGAACAGTGTTACACAGTCTGTCACAGAGGGAAAACCTTCAAAAGAATCTTTGGTTCTCTTCCTGAACATAATTAAATGTCCATTATTCTTTTCTTTGTCAGGAGTTTAATGATTTATATTTAATAGTTGAGATATACTTAGTTCTCCAAATTTATTCTCCTTTGAGGAAAGAAGCAAAAGCCTAATATAATAAACACTTGCTGACTAAAATTTTCCTCCTCTTTTTTAACTTTTCTTTTAGGACTCAGCCCAAAACCATGTTTGCCCAAGTTGAATCTGATGATGAAGAAGCAAAGAATGAACCAGAATGGAAAAAACGTAAAATTTGAAGAATCTTAGTTGAGAGCTGTTTGCATGAGGGGGAGGGACATGGTGGAATGGTGGGTTTTTTTCCCTTTAATGCTTGTAAAATTAAAAAATACATTTTTATGAACAGATTTTGTCCTTTCCATTATTGAGCCATCTAAAAGATTGATAGGTATTCTTCACTATAACTGTGTTTACATTTTCTTACCTACAACTATTAAACTGTATCACAAGTAAACAAGAAACAGATTCTTAGCCTATTACCAAGTACTTTAGGTATTTGGAGGCTTTATTCAACAATTACTGGTTTTGTTCAGATTCCCATAACCTTAGAGTGAAAAATGTGCATTGAAATGTACATCTGTCTGAAGCAATTCTAGGAACACAACATGGAAATAGAGATCAAAAGCTTAATATTTCTGTATAATGTCGCAACAGTTGTTTACATAACTGTGAATAATGAGACTGAGTTCACACAAAAGCATTGCCATACAAGGAAAGAGGAATATGTGTCTGATAATCTTTAACAGCAGAATGTAGTGGTTAGGCATTAGTAGAGCAGGCTTTGAAGTGAGACCAGTGTGGGTTCTAGTCCTGGTTCTGCCCTTGGCTGTCTGGCTCACCTTGGGAGAGTTATTAAACTTCTCTCTTACAGCCTCAGAAGGATTGAATAAGGTACTCCGTGTAGAGCATTTAGTATAGTGCCTGGCACAAATACACACTAAATATTTGCTATTTTAAAATAATGCTAATAATATCACTGTCTGATTTTTAGCAGTATTAGGAAAGTATAGAAATTTTATAAATGTAAGTGTTACAGAATAGAAGACATTAAAAATCATTCTGTGAGATCCTTTTGTGACTAGAAAAGTGATCAAAAGTTGGCAATTTGTCCAAAATAATAAAGAGTCAACGCTGGGCCTGGTGGCTTAGATCTGTAATCCTAGTACTCTGGAAGCCCAAGGCAGGAGGATCTCAAGTTTGAGCCCAGCCTGGGTAACTTAGCAACTTAGTGAGACTCTGCCCCAAAATAATGAATGAATGAATGAATGAATGAATGAATGAATGGGCTGAGGATGTAGCTTAGTGCAAAGACCCTGGGTTCAATCCCCAGCACCAGAATTTTTAAAAAAGTCAGTAAGATGAAACTCTGTGGACTGGTTTCACACAGACTTGGGTCATGTTTGCATGCTAAGTAGTCTCAGGATTTGCCCTTCTGCCTTCCTGCTCTCTTTGTTTTGGTTAAGTAATTATAAAAGTGAATGATAACCCAAAAGGTAGGTCAGAAAGCTCCTGGTTCTACAGGTCGGACCTATTGCCATCCCTCTACTCACTCCCCAAGTGTTTTACAACCACTCACACAACTCCCTTATTTCCAGATTCAGAAGTAACAGTGGGCATTTTCTGTCCATGCACTATTCTCTGACCTGTTTCCCTCTCACCCTTATCTTCATCTCATTCCTCTTCCCTTTGACTTAGCCTATAGGTGATAGGAAGAACCATCTGCTGAATGCCTGCTGTATGATGTGTACTAAGCTCTTTATTTGTATTAGCTGATTTAACCTGCAAAAAACTTGATGAGTAGGTAAAATTGCTAAACCCATTTTACAGATGAGGCAAAAGGTGTTCAGCAGTCTGCCTAAGGTCACAGCTGAGAAGGATTGTGCAAAGACACCCAAAGTCTCTAAACATCAGTAACTAAGAGTGTCCAAGTTTCCTATTCCTTTTGAAATGCACTTCTTTTGGAATCAATTACAGACCAATATTTTGTTCCAGCTGCTTAGAATTTATAAATTTATTACTTTGTGGATAAAATTTACTGAAAACCTCTCACTTTCCCCCATCTTTACATAAACATTGAACCATATGGAAGTATTCGTCTTGGACAGCCAAAAGTTGCAGTGAGGATTAGGGCAGAGAGGAACAAAAACCTCAATCGTAGTGGTCTTGGCGGAGTCTGCTCTGATGTAAGGGCAAAGAGAGGCAAATTTAGCACAAAGATAATGTTTTCACTGTTACCCACAACATATGTAGGCCTTTTCATGTTTGAGATGATCTGTCTCACTCTAGAGAGTTTCATAAAGAATATTTTTTCTACAGAAGATTGACAAGATACACAAGGATTTCAATTTTGAACTTAGTGCTATTAGTGCTTGGTACCATGAAATTAATGGAACTTTTGGTTACCAAAGTTTTGAGATATCTTTATCATGGAGGCTTTTAATTTAGTCCAGGTTATCTGCAAAATGTCTCAAAGCGTAATGCCTACACAGCATAATTTGTTTACAGTCAGGTACATTTTTCTGTAGAGAGGATCTATAACTTTCATTGAATCTGGGATATTGGGAATAGCTGGCAGCTCTTTCGTCTATCAAATAGACTGTCTAAAATTGGGCTAGACTTGAAAATCAGGACAAAATTCACATTTTCATATACTCACACAATACCAAACTAATACAGTGTATTAAACATTATATTAAACATTCTAATCTCTAATACACTAATCCCATTTAATCTTAGGTAGTCAATCATATTGCTTCAGACCTTAGTAGGTATTAATAGGTATTCTTTGAAAGATTCCTTGTCTTCTGTCCCCTTAAAAACAAGAGTTCAGCTTCATGACCACATGAAAGTGGCATCTAAGTGTAAATACTTCTTTATGTGATTATTAGAACAAGTATTACAAGTCTTGAGTCAGCTTGAGAAAAGTTGATTTATATGACTATTTCAGGCAACTGTGAGCCCTTCTACATTTAATAATCAGTGAGTTAGCCAAGTGGCTGGTTAAAGGTATGCAGACAGCCTGAGACAGTATCGCTGTAGAGGTGAATGCCTCATTCATTTATTAGTCTTCTTGTGTGTGAGGAGGTCAGGAAATAGAGGGTTGTTAACATACACCTTTTGAAAAATACCTTGTCTGGAATGGGACAATCCAAAAGCTCAATGATGAATACTTAAATTTTTAGTCCACATTCAGATCAGGTCATGGAGAAATGCCTGAAAATGTGTGTGTGTGTGTGTGTGTGTGTGTGTGTCTGTAGGGGTATGTAGTTGAAGAAGATGCTTTGAAGCACAGAGAAAAAATTGCTACTCTAAGGAGTTTTCTGATTTGTCAGAGAATTTATTCTTGGGGTTTTCAAATTTTTAAATAAAAGCTTTTTCACAAAAGAATCTTACAAGGTACTTCATCTGCCCCTATTTGTAATAATGCTCATTAAAAATGTTGACATATAAGTGATAGATTAAAGATGGCCACACATTACTTGACATTCTTCCCAGCTCCATAGTGGTTTGATTAGTAGAACACTACAGAAATGATGGTGTGCTATTTACTATGCCTCCACCTTAAAAGACTTGGACTACCTTTTTTTTTTTTTTTTTGGTGATATTTGATATGGAAATACAGCTGCCATGCTGCAAGAAAGCCCAAGCGCTACATGAAGAGGAAGTAAGGCTCCTTGGCCAACAACTCTATCTAAGCTTCCCTCAGGTAGCAGAACCAGCATGTCATTGAGCTACCTTGGAAAACAGATCCTTCAGTCCACTTGAGTCACATCAGCTGTTGTCATGTGAAGGAGAGATAAGCCAATCCCTATGAGTGAAATAAATGATCATTTTTGTTTGAAGCTACTAAATTGTTTTTTTGTGATACATATATAACTGGAACTTTAAAATATTTTTTAAAAATCAACCATTCAAATACAAACTGGTAATATTTGATGAATTACATTTAAAAGTTTTTCTTTTATGTACAATTTCAAGATTTTAGATTATCCTCTTCTCAATATTATTCTAGTATTTGTGAGCACTATAGTATTTTTCACTTGCTAAAGACACATATACTTTTTTTCACACTCCTACAAACCTCACATATAATTTTAGTGTCTACTTAATAGTTCATTATGCACATGTATTATCCATACTTAACCATTCCCCTGTTGTTGAAAATGCAGATTATTTTCAAATTTGCTATTGTATAAGTAATGCTGCTTTGAACAGCTCTGTGCCTAAAGTTCCTTTTTGTAGTATGGTAGAATTATTTTCCTAGCATTGATTACCAATGGAATTATGGAGGATCAAAAAGAACAACTCATATTTGAGAGTTAGAATCATTGTGATCTTTATAGTTACTCTGTCAGTGGATGCCATATTGGATAGGACAAAGGTGGCTCTGGGAAGTATTGCTAAAATACTGGGCTGACCATTGTCTTTCCAAAAATCCATTTCCACCCAGAATCTCAGAATGACCTTATTTGCAGATATAAAAGTACTAGGTTACAGAGGTCCCTACTTACAACAGATGGTGTCCTTACAAGAAATCTATGTAAAGACAAAAATACATAGACACACACAGGGGAAAAAAAAGACCCTGTGAAGATGAAAGCAGAAATAGGAGGGATATAGCTGCAAGTCAAAGAACTTCAAAAATTGCCAGCAACCACCAGAAACCAGGAAGAGGCAACAAAGGATTTTTCCCTAGAGGGAGCATGGCCCTGTCAAAATCTTGATTTTAGACATCTAGCTCTTGAAATCTGAGAGAATAAATTTCTATTGTTTTAAGCCACCCAGTTTGTGGTGATTTCTTAAGAACAGTCTAGGAAATGAATACAGTTAGCAACAAGATATAAGGAACACTTGGATCCTGACAGGGCTTCCCAAGGCTGCCTATCACCACAGTTCACTAAGGATTTAGAAAAAAGTAAATAAAATCACAACAAAACTGTCAATGTCTAACATTAAAGTTCAGAATTCTCTTCCCTGTGCCTTAGTGCCTTTAGTTATGATTTTTTTAATTCACTAAATTTTGAATTAATTTGTTCTACAGCAGTATTGATACAACTTTCAATTCAGCTAATTGACCTTGCATTTTGAATGTCTGTCTCCTTCCCTGCTTTCTCCTTGGTCATCTTGCCTGCAAGTGGTTCTTTGAGCTGCTGCAGCTTCCACACTTGACCTTGCCCTCCTACTGAGGACAGAGAGATATCCACTACTGTAGTGTCCTACTCCAAAGTATCCGTGAGGTTGTGAACTTATGAGCAAGTTGTCTTCATTACCTTTCTTATTTTAGGACATCTATGGTTGAGTAAAGGAAGATGGTTTTGTTGTTTATAAGTCACTTTGAAGCAT